CCCCCCCCCCCCCCCCTTTTATTTATCTGTATGTGAGAGGAAAAAGAAGCAAAAAAAGAACAAAAAAAACAAGTGGTGGTTGGGTTTTGGAGAATTGATCTATTCACTCCTAAATGTGGTTAGGAGTAGGAAGTAAGCAAATTTGTCTTACTAGGCCAACAAGGTAAAAGCTGGAAAGAGGAATGAATTGGTTGATAGGATTGATATTAGAGATTGACTTTGTATATACTCTGGTATAAGAGATTGGGCTGACATTTGCAGCTAGATTAATGGAAAGAAAATCTAAGTAGTTACTTGTCGTTTTAGAAACCAGCTCAATCTGGCACTTACCTAAGAAATTTGACAAAAATTCAGCTTGAGGAAGCCTGTGAAAAGTGATCTCGAATACACCCGACATGTAAGTGACCATATAGAGCAAGTTTTAAGAAATACTTGTAGGCATTGATTAGAAACATGAACAAGTTAGGAGCCTAATCAACCTAGATTCATGATTTATTATCTCTTATTTCAGCATGTTAAATATGATTTATGTGTATTATTGACCTTAGATGCATGATAGAGGGTTCGGGAACCGTATATGCCCACATCTGATATTGGACGAATGCCATGTTCTAGAATGTATGCTATAATCATGTTAGACCGTAAGCTGCTGTTTTACGTTATGTTGGTTCTAAAACTTAGATACTAGGCATATCGTAGGGACGATTAGAGCGAAACCTTTGTTCGTGAACTAGTTAAGAGGAGTTAGGATTTATTTGATACATAGAGATTAGTTGTCACCCACCAAGGGTCCTAGCATATAGGGTATACTATTAAGGTAGCTCCAGTTGTATAGCACTTAGTTTAATGTCCTAGCCTTTGACATGTTTAAATTCTTAAGATAGGTAGTACATTGTTCTAATTCGAGAGGGGGTGTGAGCAGGAAGTTTACTATTCTAGCGTAGAAAGGCAAACTAACAAGTAGTTTATTATCTTAGAAACAGACAATTACTGCTCGCCTCCACCAGTGAGAACCTTCCGGTTGGAGCCTAATAGATAATTATGTGTGGAGTATGAACATCGTTTTAAGACGAAGGGCTCCTCCATACTTATGAGAATTACCCTAGGTCTTCTTAGGGGTCATAGTAACTCCAAGCGCAATTAGCGCAAGGTTAAAACGTAAAACATAGAGATAAGAGTACCAAAAAATCCTTAAGTTATGAACCCCGAGGGAGTTAGAGCACACCCTAGAGGAGGAATGTATGGGATTTAGGTATGGACAAGCTTGAAAAGACGAAGTAACAACTAGTTTATTGTTCCTAAGACAGGTAGTGTGTTGGTCTAACAGGGGGTGAGATTTATTTACTGTTCCCAGTGACATGCAACTCTTGGGATTTGATCTAACAACCTTGTTGAAGAACAAGACTTTTAGATCTAAATTATTCAAAACGCCGAAAAACCAATAAGGAATCAACATAGGGAAAAGTTTAGGAATAAATTACCTTGATGATCAAGTTCAAGAGTAAAGAAAACTTGTACCTAAACTTGTGATTCAAATCACCCCACAAGATAAATTGATGAAGACTACTTGAATGACTCTAGCATGTAAATCTAAACACAACTAATGCAAAGGAACAAACTCATGGTCTAAGGGACATAATATGCAACTTTTACTTTAATAATCAAATTCTTCGTTCTAAAACAACCACATGAATGACTATTTATAACCTTAAAAATAAATCTAAAATAACCTATGGTCAATTAAAATGTTGCAACTCCCATGCCCGAAATGATTACTAACTAATTAACTTCAAATATTAAAAAATAATGCTTTAAAATTAAAAAATATTAAGAAACGTCCTTAAATCCAAAGATGTATGATACGATCTTCTCATCCATCATGAAGTTTTTGTAGCATGATTCAGACACCTTATTTGTATCATTCTCCCCTTCTTCAGGAAGGATTTGTCCTCAAATCCAATTGATCTCCTTGTAATGCAAATTTAAAATCATTTGCTTTTTGTGGTCTTAATCTTCTCGAGATCTTCACTTTTATCTTTAGGTCATGTACGGATGTAAAAGTAAATAGGAGTGTCGCTTCTTCTATAGCCCATTGGTCTTATTTTTCCATGTGTTCATTGTTGGCTCGGGTTGGAATCAACCGTCATTTTCGTAGAAAAAGTAAATACACTTTGTTTAAGTGTTCCTCTTAGAAAGAAAGTCATTTCACCCTTATGTTTGTGTATTTGTCCTTGCCTATACAAAATGGTGTTCTCCTCCCAAACTTGAGTAATGTAACCTTCTCTCCTTCTTTCTCCTTCTTTCTTTTTAGTGTCGGTACACGCATCAAATGTTTATTCTTCACGCTCTTTCCCTTTTCACTTTCTTCCCTTTTTGTTTCCAACAGACATGGAGTAACATATACTTGTACAATGTCTTTGCTGGTCTCCACGTCATTTGTAAGAACATTGTTATTTGAAATATTGTCTTGCAACATAAGACAATCTTCCTTTTTTCAAATGGCTTGTACGATATGTCTCTCTTTTCCTTGGTCCCATAAATTCAACTCCTGGCCTAATTAAGGTAGTTATGTCATAGATAGGTGGATTTCATCCAAATTTAAATATCCAAAATAGATAATTATTAACATGATTCTCACACGTTTTTGTGTTTGATGAAACATAGATTTGGTTGATCTCCTTTTACGACATGTTGCAAAAATGTAAAGAGACAATAAAATGAATCTTTCCTCGCATCTTTATCAAAATACATATTTTTCTCCTAATAGGACGAGGATTATAGAACACAAAATAATAATAATAATAATAAATCCAACCGTGGTAACGGCAATGGCAGTTCGGCAATGAAAATCTCCGGCGGCTCATCAATTCCCCCGATTCGAAATCCAAATTTCTCTCCGACTGCCACATGCCCACCTTCTCAACGGCTTCACCATTTTCATTTCCCCCTCACCGAACCGGGAACCTCCCCTTCTCTTCTCCAATTCACAACTGACTTGTTTTGTTCCTGTTTTGTTCTTCCGATTCTGACAGATCGAGAGAGTTGGGTAATTGGGTCTGTTTCTCTTTTATTGGGTTTCTCTAGTTTTATGTGAAGATCTTGTTGATTTCATTTTGACTGGGAATTTTTATTTTATCTCATATTAAAGGTTTGGGAACTTTTCAAGTTGTTCATGCTATATGTGCATGGCAGTGAATCATTGGAGATAATTTTGGATTATTTTTGGGAGAGGGTTATACATTCTCTAAGTTTTACACGATTGTTCAAAGGGTGGATGTTTTTCTTATTCTTTGCCATTGAGACTGTTGGACAAAGGAGTTGGGTTTTGTTTTGGGCTTTTGGTATAGAAATTTGTAGGATTGGATTTCGTGTTGAGACTCTGAAGTGGGAGTATGGGCTGCATTTGCTCTAAGGGAATTCCAGCAAACGATTATTTTACTGAGAATCATTCCAAAGAGAGGCATTTGAAGTCTAATAGATCATCCAGACTTCTTGGGGCTTCATTGAGAAAAGAAGAACCTGCATTGCACGTTGATGTAGGGCGAAGTGATGCAATGGCGCTATTGATATCTAACCAACCTGGGGAAGTTAATGCTGGATCAACACCTGAATTGGATGACGCTGAGAAGGCAGCAGCCAGTGCCAAGCCACTGCGTCAAGAACAGCCAACTATGGAGGATGGAGCAAAGAGAGTAGGAGTACATAATGATAATGCAATACCTAGAATAGTTAATGTTGTTAATGTGGAAGAGGGGGCTTTGGTTATTGCTGGATGGCCTTCTTGGTTGATATCTGTGGCTGGAGAAGCAATCAATGGATTGATTCCTAGAAAGGCAGACTCTTTTCAGAAGTTGGATAAGGTTAGTTTTATGTTTTATATTTTTTGTTCGCTATCTACACACTTTTCTGCAACATTTGTTTGCATATACACTTGTTTTGGTTATATGAGCTTAACCTGAGTTGGTCAGAATAGAAACTTCCTCATGGAGGCTTAGATTTGTAGTCCATGGTATTTGTATGTTCATTTTTTTGAAACTAGTGCCTTTTACTTCTCCTCGTACAAAGTGACATATCTTTTGTCCATGTGTAGACTGGCTTTTGCTTTGTAGGTGTGTGCTTTAAATCAAATTTATTGCACTAAGATAAATCAAATTTGTTTTGGTTATGTGCTCTAAACCAATTATCTAGTACATTGAAGGAAGAGAGGCCTACTTGGGAGGTGATTTGGATGCCTATGGACTTGGGAAAGCTAGAACTTGGAAATTTAAGGACTCGTAACAAAGCTCTATTGATGAAATTACTTTGATGTTTTCCCCTTGAGTCTACATTCTCTATGGTGAAAATCACTGTAAGGACGGGTCTCACCCCTTCGAGTGGTTGTTGGGTGGGATCAAAGACACACATAGAAGTTTGTGGAAGGATATCTCTTTTGAACTACCTCCCTTTTCTCACCTTGTTCGTAGTGTAGTGGGGGGAGGGAAAGGAAACACACTTTGAGAGAATTAGTGGATAAGGGATAGGTACCACTTTTCCTCTTAAAAAAAATCATATTGTGGCGGAGATCTTTGTTCGATTTGGGAGCTCTCTATTTTTTCAATAGATTTCCATTGTCCTTTATCTGATAGGGAAACAATGGACGTCACGATTCTCCTATCAAGGAGTTTGATTTCGAGTAATTATAAAAGCCTTCGTAACCAATAGTTTAAAGAGAAACATAAAATCTAGCAAGGGACCACACATCACTCAAGTCCTTTTCCAAGCCTCTAAAAACTCTATTGTTCCTCTCTCCCCAAAGATCCCGCAATAAAGCACACGTCCCGACAAGCCTCAAGAAATGACCATTCTCCCTAAGAAGCAGATAGAGAAGGAACTCCTCGATCATCTCATTTAGGTCTCTATGTGAGCTAACTAAATGTTGAATGCCTCCAAAAGATAGCTACACACGGAGCGTGCAAAGTGCATCTCCAAAGGCGATGATTCAGGTCTTTCTTTGCCTTTTGGTAGAGGATACAACAAAACCGACCAAACAACAATGGCCACTTTAACGAGAGCTGGTCTAGAGTGTGAACTCAACCATGGACCTTCTCTATCAAAGGATAAAACAAAATCACTAAGTAACCACCATGGAGCCATCTAAAGAAACCATGGACAACCTGCCAGACAAACAACTTAACCTTCTTTGAAACCTTGATCTTCCAAAGGATAAAACAAAATCACTTTGTAACCACCATAAAGCCATCTAAAGATTCTTACTGTTTCTTTTTGTGGGCTTGGTTTTGCATCCCCTTGTATTCTTTTATTCTTTTCTTAATGAAAGTTCAGTTTTTCATTAAAAAAAAGAAAAAAAGTGTTGAATTATTCAGATTGGACTTTTTATTTTTGTTATAAACTTATGATCTTACGAGTTGCTGCATCATTTTTGAAAGGTTTAACTCAGGTTTTGGTGGTTACTAATTTAAAATATAAGTATGTCCAAGTTCCTCATAATCAAATTATATAGGGTCCAATAGTAGCCTATGCGATTAGTTATTAAGGAAAGGGAAGATGTTGCCATGATATGATAATGCTGATATAGAAAGAACATGGATATAACTTATTAGCCAAGGCATCTCTACTCTGTTGTAGGTTGAAAATTGTCGAAATTGTTGCTGTTTGCCAATTGCTCTTTTATTTCCTCTTTTCTTCTTTCTCACCTCGTTCAGTAGCTCTTGAGCTTGCGACCCTTCCCCTCCCTTTTTCTTCTCTCACCCTAAAACCTTAAACCCTCCCTGTCATCTGTCCTTGCTTGCTGCCGCTAGTCATTGTATGTTCGCCATTGGATTCTGTCGTTGTTTGCCGGTTGTTCTTTTTTCTTTCCCTTTCTCTTCTCTCTAGCCTTGCTCAGCATCTCTTGGGCTGTGAACCTGGTCCCTTCACTAGTCATTTTCTGTCATTGTTCGTAGATCACTTTCTACTAGTTTGTGCCTTGTTAGTTTATTTCGTAAGCTGTCAGTACATTGGCTACCCTTCTGTTCTTGGTTCTTTATTTGGTAATTAGTTTGCCTTGTGTTTTCAGTGAATCGTAGTAGTTGCTGTATTGATAAGAGCTACTATTGCATTTGGTTCAAAAATGAGTTTTTGTTTTTAGAAGACCAGAAATTTAAGTCAGCCATTCCACTTTCATTCTCTCACCTTCGTTGGTTTGAGAAAGCTGTGGTTGAAATGATGCTTCGTCCCGATACTCATAATTTTTCCAAACAAGATAGAGATGAGTTTGGTACTACTAGAATTCAGAAACGTTGGTTTTCTTCTGGAGCAATTATTGATTGTATTATATGGCCAATTTTGGTTGGAGGAAGGTGATTAGTGTTCCTTTGGGTTTCTTAAAGCGTGGTTGACTTGTTTTTTGGGATTTGTTGAGAGATTATATCATGAAATTTGAGAAGCTTTGCTTGAAGGATTCTCAGCCTTTGAAATGCGACACTCGTTCCTACATGGACATTGTGGATTCATTCTACCCTCCTCCGTTGGTTAAAGATTGTTTTTGTCCAAAGCCCTCCATCTGCAATCTGGGATAAAGATAAATAAGTTCTTAACTAAACTGGAATTCTATGCTGGTGGTTTCTCGATTGAATGGACATTGAAGTCCACTTTGAAACCATTTTTTTTTCGATTAATTCTTTTATGGATGTTAAAAAATTATTTCAATTGTAAGATACAAATCTTTTAGTTGGTCTTGGTCCATTGGGTCATTGGGTCATTGGTCATTTCCGTTTGAAGATAGAAAAATGGGACATAAGCAAGCATAATGAACAAAAATTAGAGGTTATGGAGGCTGGCTTAAAATCACATTGTTTTCATATTGGAATATATGCACTTTTGATGCAGCAAGGCATTAATTTGGTGGTTTGATTCGAGTTCAATCTAAGACCCTAAATTTGTTTGATTGTAGCGCAACTTACGTCGAGTTCATCCTTGCTACAATTGAAATTATTGATTCAAAAGAATTGTTTTCCCTTCAATTTAGGGATATCCTCCAATTGATATTCCTTGTGTCTTGATGTCTAATAAGAGCACTTTGGATCTAAAAGATTTTTCGATTCTGTTGGACATTATTCGATAGTTCAGTAATTGAAGATGAAAAGTCTCCTCAGCATAGTTGTTCACTGGCTTTTGATGATTTGTTACTCCAATCACTGTATTTTCAACATCTTTCAAAGGAAAATTCAAAGATGACTACTAGGATAGGTTCTTTTTGTTCGGTTTTCTTGAAATTTTTGTTGTGGAAGTTATTTTCTGTATCTTTTTCTTTTTTGGTTCTTTGTGTTCTATTTTTCACTCCCTCGTGGAGTTTATATCTTTGTCTCTTGTTCAAAGGTGATATTCGTTTGAATGACTTTTCAAATTCCTTTGACTTGTTTAGATTACAAGAAGTTATGGGAACACTCACAAGGCCTCCAAAACATTCACCTATAACTTTAAACGTACTAAGCTCTCAATATCTCAAAGGTAAGTTCTTTTTATTCAGACCCAACCTCCATATCCTTCAGTAAGTTCAGGGTGATAATGCTTAAATGAAAATCTCCAACTAATCTCCATTATCCATCAAAGCTCTTTCGAATAGAACTATCATCAAACCTTAGCAAAGCCTTTATCTGCCATGAACGGGTTGATCGAAGCCACAGTTTTAAAAGGATCTTCTAAAACATCCTTGATTTCCTTCTGAGAATTATTGGCAAACAATCTAGGGGCAACCAGCAGTTCATTAAAATTCATTCTCATCATTTAGTTTTACAATTGGAGTCCATTCTTGTAATTGGAGTTGAGGCTCCTTTGGTGGGTTTGCTTTTTGTTTGCACTTTTACTTTCTTTCATATTTCTCAATGAAACCTCCTTTTCTTATATATAAAATAAAAATCGAATAGAGATGATGGCCTTTGTTGTTCTTTCTTAATTTTTATTGTTGTTATCTATACATATATTAAATTTAATTATTAATTATAATTAATAAAATCTACAATACACGTTGCATTACGATACATGATAGTACACTAAGTTTAAGCTTGATACATGTACTGATTCACTAGTTAAACCTCTGAATACTTCCACCTCTAATCAGATACCTCGAAAGAGTTTAACATTTGTCACCTGTTCTTCTGTCGTTCTTTTTTACATTTGAACCCGTATTTGTCCAGGGTAGTTCTTGCTGCTAAACAATTATTAAATTTAATTTAACACTAGTTTCCTTTAACCTATATATCTTGGTCTTTACTCTCAGTTTATACTGGTAATTTTTTGGATATCTTGAATGTAGGTTGGACAAGGAACGTACAGCAGTGTGTACAGGGCCTGCGATATTGAAACAAACAAGATTGTTGCATTGAAGAAGGTGCGATTTTCTAACATGGATCCTGAAAGCGTTCGTTTCATGGCGAGGGAAATTCTTATCCTGCGTAGGCTTGACCACCCCAATGTCATGAAGCTTGAAGGTCTTATTACTTCAAGGGTATCGGGCAGTTTATACCTCATATTTGAGCACATGGAACATGATCTTGCAGGGTTGGCAGCAACCCCAGGGATCAAGTTCACTGAAGCACAGGTCATTGACTTTTCCCAGCTAGTGATTAACTTTAGATCATTTAGGAATAACGTATATGGAAATCTCAATTGGAAGCAACAAACAAGTTAAAGAGTCATTTCCTCTTAGATTGCCGATCTGCATACAATCCTTTTATCTATGGGAAGTTGAGACATTTTTGCATGGACATGGTGTTCCCAAGAACATGTTTAGATGAAATGTATAATTCAAAATTTCTTGGGACATATTTATCCTGTGTTTAGGTGATACAGAAAAAGACCATTGTTGTGCCTGCACATCTGTCTTAGTCTTATATTTATGTTTTCTATTCTTAAGATAAATCCATTATTGATTTCATTCTAAGGTAAACTCTCTTGCAACTTCTAAACCTGTGAGAAAAAGGAAAAGAAAAAAAATAAAAACGGGCTACTGAATGTATAAGAAAAGAAAAGGACTTGTACGTTCAAGCAGACGGTGCCTTTTTACTGAACATATAAGAAGGAAAAGAAATTTCGAAATTCATTTAGTATAGCAATAATAATGATACAAGATTGAACCTAGACTAATATGCTGGATGTGTGTTGACGTGCAGATTAAATGCTATATGCAACAGCTGCTTTGTGGCCTTGAACATTGCCATGCCCAAGGTGTTTTGCACCGTGACATCAAGGGCTCAAATCTTCTGATTGACAATAATGGTAACCTAAAGATAGGTGATTTTGGGCTATCAACCTTTTTCCATTCCCGTCAAAAGCAGGCTCTTACAAGTCGTGTGGTAACTTTGTGGTATCGGCCACCTGAGCTTTTACTTGGTGCAAAGGACTATGAAGTTTCTGTTGATTTGTGGAGTTCAGGTTGCATTCTTGCAGAATTATATGCTGGGAAGCCTATCATGCCTGGAAGAACAGAGGTATTATCTTATCTAAAGACCTTTTATATTTGGATACTATAAATTGTATTACTAACGTTCTACTGTGAATCTATGTTTTGTCATCCACTTTCTACTAATGTTTTTAAAAACCGAGTCAAATTTTAAAAACTAAAAAGATCTTTTCGTTTATACAATTTGACTAAGAATTCTAAGTATTTTTTTAAGGAAGGTGAAAATCATAATTGAAAAATGAGGAGGAAACAAGTATAAATTTAGATTATTAAACAAGGCGTAAATGTGTTAGCATCAATAGGTGGAGCAACTACATAAGATCTTCAAACTCTGTGGCTCCCCATCTGAAGAATACTGGAAAAAATCAAAATTACCTCATGCCACCATCTTTAAACCTCAACATCCTTACAAGCGGTGTGTTGCTGAGACATTCAAAGACTTCCCTTCCTCTGCATTGGCCCTTTTGGATGTGCTTCTTGCGGTGGAGCCTGATGGCCGTGGAACAGCTTCCTCTGCCCTTCAAAGTCAGGTAATCATTTTTTTTTTATTCAATGACATACTAACTTCTATTTCTTTCAAGTCGTGCTTTTTGTTTTCTGAACGAGATACTAACTTCTCATTGATTAATGAAAAGAAACAATTTTGATACTAAATCCTAGAGGGAGTGGGAAAGAACCCAAGAAAAGAAATCAGAAAACGGGAAACCAATTCCAGTTCTAAAAATATTTGGATAAATCCAGTCAATGAGGTTTTCAATGAAGACTACAGATGGCTCAAACTTCATTAGGGCGTTGTCATCCATGAATGGGCTACTACTACATTGTTGAGAAAATTTTGTTGAGAAAATTTTGTTGAGAAAATTTGTAAGATCCCACGTCGGTTGGAGAGAGAAACATAACATTCTTTATATGGGTGTGAAAACCTCTTCTTAGTAGATGCATTTGAAAAACCTTGAGCGGAAACTCGTAAGTCCAAAGAGGACAATATCTGCTAGCAGTGGGCTTGGGCTGTTTCAAATGGTATCAGAGCCAGACATCAGGCGGTGTGCCAGCGAGGATGCTGGGCCCCCAAAAGGGTGGACTGTGAAATCCCACATCGGTTGGAGAGGGGAACAGAACATTCCTTATATGGGTGTAGAAACCTCTACCTAATAGACGCGTTTTAAAAACCTTGAGGGGTAGCTCGAAAGGAAAAATGCAAAGAGGACAATATCTGCTAGCTTGGGCTGTTACAAATGGTATCAGAGCCAGACACCAGGCGGTGTGTCAGCAAAGACTCTGAGCCCTAAGGGGGTGGATTGTGAGATCACACATCGGTTGGACAAAACATTCCTTATATGGGTATGGAAACTTCTCTCTAGTAGACGCGTTTTAAAAACCTTGAGGGAAAACCCGAAAGAGAAAGCCCGAAGAGGACAATATATGCTAGTGGTGAGCTTGGGCTGTTACAAAATTTCTCCTTCAAAGCCAAGGAGGTGTTTTTCCCGTCATTCTGAGCGCATAGCTTAAAGATAACCGTTGTCTGCTCCCGGTCATTTCAACCACTTGTCCTTCCTTCTTAACCCAATTCTCATGCTTTTCCTTTCACCATCTTCCTTCTCTCTTCTAATGCAGTACTCTGCGATTTACTTGGTGCCTCATCCATGACATTTCCTTTCATCTTAAGCATATCATAAGAAATATGAATATGAACCCCTTGATTCTTAGGGTGCAAATCAATTTATCTTGCTTTGAAATGAGACCTTTTATCATTTTCCAAAAAGCTATCCAGCCTCTGTTGTTGTTTCGTGCAGGAATCATGACCGTATCTCTCGTACCTGACTTGAAAATTGAGATACATTCAACGTTCCAACCTTGTTGATTATACACTTTTCAACAATTTACAGACACTAAAATCTTCTGTAGCTTGCCTCAAGAAGTGAGCTTTTAGTGGATATTGCATCAAATCAATTGAGTTTCTTATGAAGAGAGATGTGAATAAGACTATTCAGCGTTGACCCAAGAGAAAATGACTTATTTCCGACACATCAGCAACTAAAATTCATACTTCAGAAGATTTGATAACTGAAGAGTGCTTCTAAATGCACTTCATGTGCTTCTAAACATGCTTTTGTTCGTAAAATATAATTGTCAAAACGTTTAACCAATAGTTTACATCCCTTAATTTTATGTTCGCGTGCTTGATGAATGTTATGTTTTCTTTCAGTTCTTTACCACCAAACCGCTTCCCTCGGATCCCTCTACTTTGCCAAAGTACCCACCAAGCAAGGAGTTTGACGCGAAGCTCCGAGACGAGGAATCTCGAAGGTAAATTCTTTATTGATATTTAGTTGGCCTCTTTCTTTTCTTGCTAAAATCATCTGTAAAACCAGAAGAAAAGCTCCTATCAGTGTAGCACGTGAACATGAAGCAGCTCAAAAGTGTCCCAGAGAATCAAAAGCGATTCCTGCACCAGATGCAAATGCTGAATTGCAGGCATCCATACAGGTAATTAGATGGTTCCCGATGCATTTAAATACAAGCTTTTGTGTAATAAAACTTAGGTGGGCTGATAGTTTAGTTCATTTGTGAAATTCAGAAGAAACAAAGGCAGCATAATCCCACAAGTTGCAGTGAAAAGTATATTCCTGAAGAGGATGGTGGCTCTGGCTTTCGCATCGAACCCCCAAAAGAAGCAACGCAAATGGCGTCGACTGCATTGGGTTCTTCACAAAACATGAACGGGAATCAGCGTGATAATCTAAGAGGTTCTTCAGTTGGAGCCAAAGGTGCAGAACTTAGAAAACAAAGATCTTATGTGCAGCATGGTGGTGTAAAGTTGTCCAGGTATTCCAATTCCATTGCAGTTCGAGGTGGTTCACGATTCGGCTGTGGGCCAGAAGAGTGTTTTAATGTGTCATATAACCGTTTCAATGACGTTGAATCTTCAGAAAAGCATGAATGGTCTCACCATTTACTAGACACACCAAAATCTTCATACAAGATAGATGATCAGTCATCTGGAAAAGTGTCTATTAACGTAAAGTATCCAGTGATGTAAAGTATTCCAATGATTTTCGCAAGCTTTTCGAGCTAACGAATTTTGTTTTCTCTTTCATCAGAGTTATGCTCCAAAGAAGAGAATTCACTACTCAGGACCCCTGATGCCTGCTGGTGGAAACCTTGAGGAAATGTTAAAGGAGCACGAGAAACAAATGCAGCATGGGGTGCGCAAGGCTCGTATCGACAAAGCTAAGATAAACAAGACGCAACGACAAAGGTCAAACGGAGTCGTTGCTTCACCATGCGAGAAACGGCAGTTGAGCATTCATTATATGCTGGGTGAGGCTTCTTAAAGGCTATTGGGAGTTCAATGAAGCTCAAACAAAAAACTGCGAGGTACGGTGGTGCATAGTTCCAAGGTTAATGCAATTATAGGAAGAAAGATTATTAAAGCCATTGAGTGATTCTTAAGCAGAAAATGATCGAGCTCTCTTTGGCGCTTGTCTCAGTTGCTGAAGAAATTCTTTTGTACAGCCTAACCGGTTTAAGGAATTTCGTTGTCATATTCTTTTTGTAAAGACTTTATTAAGTTAGTTTGAAAACGTCCATAACATGCATATTGTAATGGTCCGTTGATATAGGAAATGTAGGGTCGTTACAATTTGCTAACAAACTAGAGTCGATCAAAAGACTTTAGAATTGTTGGGCCCTTATATGAGCTATGGAGGAGAATCTTTTGTTTCATCTTTTACCCGACTTTTTAAATAAATTCCTATTTTCTCATTTCGTGATAGGACACAACTCTTCTTCAAATATAGGTGTTTGTTAAGTTTAGTAGGTACAATTGATTACTATGAGTTTATGTGTTTATTTATGTGTTTATTTATGTGTTTATTGAGTCCAATTGGTGCAATTGTTCCCAATAAAATTTATGTAATATATGTGAATAGAGGGGAGATTTAAATGAATGGTAATTTTTCACCATAAGTATTTAACGTCTTACAAAAATATGCACGCATGAAGATTGCTTTCAAAACGCTTCTCAAAAGTCTCTCTACCCCAATTTTCTAAAACATTTTTCCTCAAAACAAGGTTAGAAACTTGGATATATCTCACTCGTGTATCGAGAAAATGCAAATGCCATAAATCGAACTAATTAATACCTTTTAAATGTGTCCAACTGAGTCAACTAGATTCTTTTAATCTCATTTTTCAACTAAAAAAATAAAAATAAAAATAAAAATATATATCAAAATTAGGAATTAAAATAAGTATTTATTTTTTTAAGATTAAGAGAAGAGGGGGAAAAAAAGAATAAAAGAATCAAAAAAAGATTAAAAGAATCAAAAAAAGAATAAAAGAATTAAAAAAAGAATAAAAGAATAAAAAGAACAAACGAGGAGTCCAATAGTGTCCATATGTGTAAATTTCATATTGCCTTGGGAAATTCTGCATCCAACTGCAAAACCCTACTCCACTTCTCGACTTTTTCGCCTCCAACTGCTTCTCGTGATTCTGCAGTTAAGCTCCCTCTCCCAGGTCTCTAATTCTTCATTTCAATCTTCAACGTAATCATTATCGATTTCTATGTCTTCTATTTGCTAATCAAAAGTGTTTTCATTGTTCTTTGCCATCGCGGAAACTACTTCCTTATAATTTCCATTTACTGTTCATTACTCACTTGATTTTGTTCATTTTGTTATGTCGCCAGATCTGAAGCTAGAGCGTGGAGCATTTCTCCATTCACCCATGGCACTGGTGTGTGATCGATACTTGTATTCAACTAATTTTCAATGAATTGAATTCAAAAGAAATTTATCTCGATTGTTGTCTGATGTATATGACTTGGGTTTGATTGCAGGTGATACACGCAGGAAAGACGAATAAAAATTCTTTCAAGGCTCTCATTGCTGCAGAGTACAATGGAGTCGAAGTGAAATTGATCCCAGACTTTGAGATGGGAGTCTCAAACAAGACTCCGGAGTTTATCAAGATGAACCCTATTGGGAAGGTTGGTTTCTGATTTGATAAGCGGAAATTCGTATTGTCAAAATGATCTTGCTTACTTGTTATAGATGAATTAACATTCAATGAGAATTTCTCGCATTTTTAGGTTCCTGTTTTGGAAACGCCCGATGGCCCCATATTTGAGAGCAATGCAATAGCCCGTTATGGTAAATGATGCGAACCATTTTCTAGACCTCAGGTTGGTTAACTGATTGTGTTAAAACTGACTTGTTTGTGTATTTGATGATGCAGTTGCACGCTTGAAGGCTGATAGTCCTCTGTTTGGTTCATCTTCGATAGATTATGTGCGATGAGTTACATTAACATTTTTATTCTTTTTGTATTAAACCTACATTTTACGACCGTGGGGAATTATGCTTATTAATTATCATGTTTGTTGCTTCTGATCGTATTTCAGGGGCATATTGAACAATGGATTGATTTTGCATCATTAGAGATAGATCCTAATATTTTGACTTGGTATAGACCTAGAATTGGGAGAGCTGCTTATCTTCCACCTGTAAGTAACTCTTGTGGCCATTTGATTAATTTCTCTGGTTTGTTTTCCGCTTGTGTTCATACTTAAAATGCTTCCTTTCGGGTTATTTGAATTCTTGTGGCCAATTGAGCTGAGTATCTTTCTCCTTTCTTGGTCAAGTCCTAGCTTCTATGAGTGCAAACACCTGTATATTCATCATTTTTTTTCTTTCAATAATGCGGTTATATCTGTTTTGAATGCCATCTCATATGGTTTGATAACATTTCTTCCCGTATTAAGGTTGAGGAAGCTGCGATTGCTGCATTGAAGAGAGCTTTGGGAGCTTTGAATACGCACCTTGCTTCAAACACATACCTAGTTGGTCATTTTGTAACATTAGCTGACATCATCATGACTTGCAATCTCTTATTGGGTTTTACTAAGTTAATGACTAAGAGCTTTACCTCAGAGTTCCCACATGTTGAGAGGTACTTCTGGACCTTAGTCAATCAACCAAACTTCAAAAAAATTCTGGGTGAGGTGAAGCAGGCAGAGTCAGTTCCGCCTGTTCAATCTGCTAAGAAACCTGATGAATCTGCTAAGCAAAAGCACAAAGATGAGGTAAAGAAAGAACCTAAAAAGGAAGTAGAAAAAGAGAAGCCCAAGGCGGAAGTTGGCGAGGGAGAGGATGAGGCACCAAAGCCTAAACCCAAAAATCCTCTTGACTTGCTTCCTCCCAGTAAGATGATTCTGGATGAGTGGAAGCGGCTGTACTCGAATACCAAAACCAACTTCCGGGAGGTTGCAATTAAAGGTATGGAACCCTTTCAGGTGAACTATTTTGGAGAATGATTGCATCAATGATTGGTACCCGCCATATAAGTGGGAACCTTTATTGTCATTTGTTGAGTAATGGTTCGATGACATGAAAGCAAGCAAAACTTTTACGGAAAATGAACCTTGTCTTCTCTTTGTGGCAATCATTTACTATCTTTAGAGCATTCGTATCTACAGTAACTAGCACTTAATTTTTATTTCTTCAAACTTGTTAATGTACCCAAATGCATTACACAGTCTAGGCTTCAAGTTTTTTGACTACTCCACTGATGATCTGGATAATGTAATTGTTAGCTTTCTCTTGGTTGCATTTACTTTCACTACATACAATAAACAAGCATTCTCCTAAATTTGTTGCAGGATTTTGGGACATGTACGATCCAGAGGGATATTCTCTTTGGTTCTGCGATTACAAGTACGACGATGAGAATACTGTTTCGTTTGTGACTTTGAACAAGGTTGGTGGCTTTCTCCAGCGGATGGATCTCGCACGTAAGTATGCTTTCGGGAAGATGTTAGTGATTGGATCCGAACCTCCATTTAAGGTGAAGGGATTGTGGCTGTTCCGTGGGCAAGAGATCCCAACGTTCGTCCTGGACGAGTGCTATGACATGGAACTGTATGAATGGAGGAAGGTGGATATATCAGACGAGGCACAAAAGGAACGCGTGAACCAGATGATTGAAGATCATGAGCCTTTTGAAGGAGAGGCTTTGTTGGACGCCAAATGCTTCAAGTGATGAAGCAATTATCTCAAGGGGTGTTGTTTTAGTGTCTTTTCTAGAGTTCCAAATATCATCATCATATATCATCATCATATATCATCGTTTACTAGTCCTTATTTCCATCGAGTGTGATTAGACAGATATACCCCTCCCAAAGGGGGAAAAAACAAACAGCAAGTAAAAATCTCCTTGTGTTAATTCTTCTCCTTTTTGGTTGTTCATGAAATTAAAAGTCTATGTTTCTACAGGACACTATTCAAGGCTTCGTTAGTTTAAAATGTATGAATGGATGTGTGGAAATGAAATGTTTAAAAATTATATAATTGTGGTTGATATTGATAAAGTTATTAAAATATTATATAAAAATAATAATATATTTATTTAGTTTTTGTAACTATTTTCAACAATTTTATTACATTATATAATTTTTTAGTTAGATAATTGTTATATTTTATTTTTATTAGGTAAATTCAATAAAGGTTAATTTAATTTTATTATGAATAATATGCTTAACGATTTTCATAAAATTATATAACATTAATTGGAGAAGAATTAATTAAAATAAAATAAAATAATTATTACAATTAAATTATGTTAATAAACTTTTTAGGAAGTTAAAAAATTCCAGTTAACTAATTAATAATGCTAAAGTTATTATTAGCTAATTAATTAATAATTTTAATAAATAAGTAATTCCATTCTATTAATAAACTTTTATTTGAATTAAATGTATATTTAAATAATTTATTATAATTAACCAATTAATGGAATTAATTTTGGTAAATCGAGATGAATTAGTTAATTAATTATCATATTTACAATAAGATTAGGAATAAAAATGAATAACAAATTAGGAGAGAGAGAAAAGAAAAAACACACTTTTTTTTTTTTTTTTTTTAAGAATGGTTTAGAAAATTGGATGGATATGCAAATGATGTTTAGAAAACTCCCACCAAACACTTATTTTGGAGAGATTATCAATGAAATCTAAGAATGTCCAATTACAAAAACAAATTATTAGTTTTTTATCTCCCAATATCCATCCATTCCAATAATAATTTCTGCTTTTACTTTATTACGTCTGCATGGACGTGTTTTAAAATCATGAGGTTGACGACGATATGTAATAGGCTAAGGCAGACACTATCTGCTAATGGTGGGTTTGAGCTGTTACAATACACCATCTCCTCCATTCTTTTAACTCACCGTATAGAACAGTTGATTTGTCATCTAACTGATAGAGTTTCCAACCTTTTCGGGTGCAAAAAGCAATGATCATTTTCATAGTATACATTCTGGCCATGGGTACAAACATTTCCGTACAATTAATTACATACTCTTGTGTGTAGCATTTTACCACCAATTTTGTTTTGTATTTATCAACTTCTACTGAGTCATTTAGCTTGGTCTTATAAAATCATTTTACTCCTATTTTCTTTGCTCAAGCAGATAGAACAACCAAGTTCCATGTTTGATTTTTTTTCAATGGAGTTAATTTCTTCATCCACAGCCAATTTCCTTCTTGGGCATTTGACAACTTCCTCAAAATTCACAGTCTGAAATCATCAAGAATGTCATATTTCCTTCCCCCTCTTCAGATAAACCCTCACCAAAATCACAATCTACTAACCATACTGGTGTAATATCAATTTCTCCCCTCCCTTATTGTAAACAACCACTCAAGTAGTTTCAAGGTGCATAAGCCCTTATAGTCGAGAGGACCATAACGATAGTGCCAAAGTGTTGAATGATTAGTATTTGAAATTTAGTGGCATCTTCCTTCATTTGTTGTGGTAGATAGTTCAGCAAGAAAAATGAGTAGTCGGTTTGCACTCATAATTGACTTTGTCATTTTTACTTTTTGTTGATGATAAATTCTACATACACCATCTTTAAACAACACTCCTCCTTTTTCTTGTAGGTGTCGAATGCTCAAGAGATTATTTTTTAGTTTAAGTTCCCAATACACATTACTAATAGTGTAACAAACCTCATGCAAAGTTAATTCCACTAAACCCTTTCAAGTAACTTTCATGCTTGTATTATTTCCAAGTTTGACCGTGTGAGAAAAGTTATTGTCTAAGCTTGAAAACATAGCTTCATTTGTACACATATGGTTTGAGCAACTAAAATCTAATAACCAAGCATCACTCCTTTTTGTTTCGATAAGTCATTAATAGCATTTCATCCTCTTTCAACTCTGCATAATTCAATTCTATTCACTCTTGGACATTCATATTAAAAATGACCTAAGTTGATAAGGCAACCCTAATCCTTAGCCCAACGATCCAGCTTTTGTTGAAGCAAGAACCCTTGAATCAAAGTAATTAACACCCCATATACGAAATTTGGATCAACCAAGAGATAAGGCTAGAATTAGATTACCTCTTACGATCGAAGATCTAGATGCAATATTTGGAAACCTTGTTCTAAATTGAGTCACTCCACAATCGAACTTGATCAAGGCTTGACTGAATGGCTCGGGTGCAATTCTACCCCAAGAATTGCTTGAAACTTAGAAATGACAAATATGATGCTTGGATTTCTAAGGGAAACATCTCAATTTGAGATCTGAATTACATTCATCCACGAATCTGATTTTTACATAACATATTGTGGGTATTTATAGTCTCTCGACAAAAGACGTTTGTGGCCGGGATTCAATCCCGATCCCCTTTAATCTCCAAAAAAAATACGAAGTCAATTTTGACCATTTGACCATTGCAAAGTGAAAACGAAAAGACAATAAAATCTTCCAACCAACATTGATATGTTTGAGTGGTTAAGGAAACAAATTTGAAATCTATTGGAGTTCAAACCCTATTGTTGAGAAAGTTGCCGACTTTATCAGCTTCTAATTCTAGAAATGATGGTTGAATCAAGTCGAATAAAAAAGTTGCCGACTTTATCAACTTCTAATTCTAGAAATGATGGTTGAACCGAGCCGATCCAATTTTGTAGATGAAGAATGAATGTTTGTTGAATCTTTTTCGCCTTGGATCGTTTAATAGGTTCATTTGGAACACCATGATTCTTATCATTTTTCCCCACTTCAAAAGGATTCGTCCTCGAATCAGAAAGTTGCCGATTTTATCAGCTTCTAATTCTAGAAATGATGGTTGAACTGAGCCAATCCAATTTTGTAGATGAAGAATGAATGTTTGTTGAATCTTTTTCACCTTGGATCGTGTAATAGGTTCATTTGGAACATCGTGATTCTTATCATTTTCCCCCTTTTCAAAAGGATTTGTCCTCGAATCAGAAAAATCATCACTGAAAAGTCTACGAGAAGATCAATTTTATATGCATTGTTATTAATTCTTTCAAGGACTTGATAAGGGCCACCCCTCTTGGATGTAACTTTGTCTTCCGTTGAGATGGGAATCGCTCCTTGCGAAAATGTATCCAAACCCAGTCACCAGATTTAAAAATGATTTCTTTCTGTCCTTTGTTAATCCTTAAAGCAACTTTGAAATTTTGGTTCTCAATTCTCTCCTTCACCTCATTGTGCAATGTTTTGATCAAGTCTGCCTTGTGACTGCGTCACTCACAAAAATATTAGAAGGAATAGGGAGCAAATCAAGAGGCGTAAGTGGATTAAATCCATAAACAACTTCAAAAGGAGAACAATGAGTGGTATTATGAATTGCTCTATTATATGCAAACTCTACAAATGACAAGCATTCATCCAAGACTTAATATTCTCATAAATAATAGCCCTAAGCAATACTCCTAATATTCTCTATTAACCACCTCAGTTTTGTCCATCCGTTTGAGGATAACATATGGTTGAAAACAACAATTTGGTACCCAATTTACCCACAGTACTTTTCAAAAGTGATTTAGAAATTTAGCATCTCTATCCCTAACAATTATTTTAGGGATTCCATGTAATCTTACTACTTTCTTCAAAAATAAGCCAGCAACATGTTTTGCATCATCCGTTTTGTTGCATGTAATAAAATGAGCCATCTTATTAAATCTGTCTACCACAACAAAAATACTATCTTTATCCTTTGTAGTGTGCGGTAAACCAAGAACCAAATTCATAGATATATTACTCCAAAGTTCGTTAGGTACATTCAAATGAGTGTACAATCCATTTGGTTGTGATCTAGATTTGGCTTCTTTGCATTAAAAGCATTGACTAACTTATGAACATCGTGCTTCATTTTCGGCCAAAAGAAGTGTTCATGCAACATATTATAAGTTTATTGATCCCAAAATGTCCCATTAAGCTACTACCATGTGCTTCTTTTACAAGCAAATCTCTGATAGAGCATTTAGGAATACAAAGCTTACTTTCTTAAATAAGAAATCATGAAACACATAATAATCATTCACATCTGTTTTTGTAAGACAAAATGCATAAATAATTCCAAAGTCTTGGTCATCTCGATATAATTCTTTAATATGCTCAAATCCAAGAATTTTTGCACTAAGAGGAGTAAAAAGATGGTACCTTCTAGATAATGCATCAGCTACCACATTATCCTTACCTTGCTTATATTTGATAACATATGAAAATGTTTCAGTAAACTCTACTCACTTTGCATGCCTACGGTTCAGTTTGCTTTGACCCTTAAGATACTTCAAGGTTTCATGATCAGAGTGAAGCACAAATTCTCTGGGCCATAAGTAGTGTTGGCACCTGTGCGAACCAAAGTAAACAATTCTTTATCATAGGTAGGATGGTTCAATACTGCCCCATTTAGTTTTTCACTAAAATACATTACGGGTTTTCCATCTTGCATCAAAACAGCACCTATGCCCAAACCACTTGCATCACACTCAATTTCAAAAGTTTTATCAAAGTTACGCAAGACAAGTAATGGTACATTGGTTAATTTATTCTTAAGCTCATTGAATGCATTCTCTTGCATATCTCCCCATTTAAAACACATTCTTTTTCACTAAGTCATTTAATGGTGCAGCTATGGTGCTAAAATCTTTTATAAATCTTCTATAGAAGCTAGCTAACCTATGAAAACTAGGAACTTCACTTGCATTTTGTGGTGTTGGCCAATCCTTGATTGCTTTAACTTTCTCTTCATTAACTTCTACTCCATTTTTACCAACTATGAAGCTAAGAAAGTTAACTTTTTTCATGCAAAAACTACCCTTATTAAAATTAGCATAAAGTTTCTCTTTTCTAAGTGTAGTCAAAACTAACTTAACATGCTCCGCATGCTCATGCAAATTCTTTGAATAAATTAAAATATCATCAAAATACACAATAACATGCTTTCCTAAATATTCTCTCAAAACGTGATTCATCAAGCGCATAAATGTACTAGGAGCATTAGTTAACCCAAAAAGCATAACAAACCATTCATACAATCCAAACTTAGTTTTGAAAGCGGTTTTCCATTCGTCTCCTACATGCATTCTAATTTGATGATATCCAGTTTTCAAGTTAATCTTTGTAAGTAAACATGAACCATGCAATTCATCAAGCATATCGCCTAGCTTAGGAATAGGATGTCGATACTTTACTGTGATTTTGTTGATGGCTCTACAATCCACGCACATGCACCACATTCCATCTTTCTTCGGCACCAATAAGATTGGTACAGAACATGGACTCAAACTCCGTATATAGCCCTTTTCCATGAGCTCCTCTACTGGCCTTTGAATTTCTTTAGTCTCAGTTGGGTTGGCTCTATAAGCTGGCCTATTAGGAATGACTGCCCCTGGAATAAAGTCTATTTTATGTTCAATATCTCTAATGGGAGGTAGTCCTTTAGGGACTTCATCTTGGAATAGGTCATCCAATTCCTGTAAAAGAGATTGAAACATACTAGGGAAAGACAAATTGTTATCGTTAGAGACCAAACATCCTTCGTTGTACACAAGTACAAAGATGGTTTTTTGTGAGGACATTGCCCTTCTAACCTCTCCAACTCTAGCCAAACAACTCACATTCTTTCTTTTTTTTTTTTTTTTTCAATTTCATTCTTTTTTTCACTATGTTTTTCTCTTTGATTTTTCTCTCTTTTTTCACTCAACTCTTGTTTTTCTTTCAACTCTTTTTCCGAAAACTCTTTTTTTTCTTCCAACTTTAATTGTGAGTAAGAGTGATTTTTCTACCATCTTTTACAAAAGAATACCTATTCAAATAGCCATCATACATAACCCTCCTATCAAATTGTCATGGTCGGCCAAGCAATATGTCTCTAGCATGCATTGGTAAAACATCACAAACAACTTCATCTTTATATTTTCCCAAAGTAAAAGATATTAAAGCTTGAGAAGTTACCTTCATTGTTCCACTGTCATTGAGCCATTGAAGTTTGTAAGGTTTAGGATGGTGTTGGGTTGGACTTAGCAACCTTTTGATCAGTATGGTACTTCCAACATTGGTGCAGCTTCCACTATCAATTACAAGACTACAAGGAGTCCCCTTGACTAAACATCTTGTGTGAAATAGGTTGTCTCTTTGATCATCAACATCATTCTCTGTAACTTGAGTTTTAAGAAGTCTTCTGGTAACAAGTACTAAATGACTCCCATCTTCCAGTTCCTCCTCATTCTCCTGGATTTCTTCTTCAACTAGCTCCTCCTGGTCACTTTCCTCACTATCTGTGACAACTTGTCCATTCTTGATGATCATGACTCTCTTTTTAGGACAATCGCAACTAAGATGTCCAATTCGTTGACATTTCCAACATTTGATGTCTCTATTTCTTTCTCGAATCTCCTTATATTCCTCTGCTTTCTCTTTACCCTTGGAGGTCTCAACTTTGTTCTTTTTGTCAAGATCATACTTGCCTCCAACTTTGAAATCTATCTTTACAATATTTGCATTCTTTTTCCAAGTGTTGAAAGTAGTAGACTTTGAAATATCATACCTTTTGGAGTTCTCCTTCTCCCAAGCTAGTTGCCCTTCAATTTTGATAGCAAGGTGTAACAATTCTTGCATATCAAAGTACACTTGCCTATCCACTTGATGAGCAAGTTGTCAGTTTAACCCACCAAGGAATCTAACCATTATATCTTCCTCATCTTCATCAATACATGCTCTATTCATAAGGGCCTCCATTTCTTTGTAATATTCTTCCACACTTTTGGATCCCTGTTGCAAAGTATAGAGTTTTTGCTTGAATACTCGATAATAATGCTTAGGAATGTACCTTTTTCTCATTAATGTCTTCAATTCCTACCACGTTTTAATTGGTTCTTCATAATTTCTCCTCCACTCTAATTTCAAAGATGTCCACCATATAATGACATAATCATAAAATTCAGCCACAACAAGCTTCAACTTTCTTTCTTTACTGAAATTGTTGCAATCGAAAACATGCTCAATTGCTCTCATATTGCAAATACTCCTCTGGATCAGATCTCCCATAGAAAGTTGGAATTTTTAGCTTTACTCCCCCGACTCCTCTTTCTTCTCCTCTCTCATACTGGTACTCTCTCTCAATTCTTTTTGGTACTAAAATTTCTCTACCCCTTCTTCTGACTCTTCCTCTCCCTCGACTGACATCTCTCCCTCCCCTAGGACTATGTCCCGCTAAAAGGGTGACATTGTCATCTTCTTCATTTTCAACTCCTTCATTCAAGAGTACTTCCCTCCCTTGAAGATTACCTAAGGCTATTTCAATTCGCTCCATCCGATCTGTCAATGTACTAATAACTTGATTCAAACAAGTAATTGTTCCGACTTGTGCTTCTCTCCACCTAGCTTCATTGATCTCTCTTCCATTTCCTCCGTCTTGGTTCATGATTGTACAACCAGTAGTGGAATATGTTTAGGACCTTACACACTCAACTCACTAATTTTACACTCAGGGACACTCGTGTTTATACACACAAAGGTAGGCTGTTTGGGAAAGTGACTAAATTATGATCAAGGTAGGCTAATATATCGGTAAAGCAATTCTGATAGTAGCAAGCTATTCAAGGGAATCAAGAAAAATTGATTATGAAATAACAACAAAATAAAACAAGAAGTGAACAAACAAATAAGGGACACGAAGATATTTTTTTATAGAATTGCACATTGAAAAAAAAAATCCAAAATTAAAAAAGACGTGAAGAGTTTAAGAACCATCTAACTCTCCTTTTACAGAATTTGGGAAATTTAGAAGTTATCTTCCAGCGTAGATTATGAGAAAAAAAAAATATACCAAACACAACGGTTCTAGATTTAGATGGATTAAGAAAAAGATGTGAATCGAAGTTTATTTAATCTTCAAATAAACATGCAAATGATCTAAAAAAAATGATAAAGATCGTTTATAATCATAATCGTTGAAAAGATGTTTCTTTTTCAAGATCTAAACATGATCTTTAAGAAGAAAATGATAACAAGGTGAAAAGTTGATGATTAATGGCGAAAATGACAGCAAGAAAATAAATGGACAGATTCAAAGAAAAGATAAACAATGCCATAAACAAAGATAAAATCAATTGTAGAGTCGGCCACAAAGATGTAAACCTACCCTCGGATACCAAATTGATAAGGCAACCCTAATCCTCAGCCCAACGATCTCTGATACCAAATTGATAAGGCAACCCTAATCCTCAGCTCAACGATCCAAGTTTTATTGGAGCAAGAACCCTTGAATCAAAGTAATTAACACCTCCGTATACAAAATTTGGATCAACCAAGAGATAAGGCTATAATTAGATTACCTCTTACAATCGAAAATCTAGAAGCAAGATTTGGAAACTTTGTTCTAAATTGAGTCACTCCACAATCAACTTGATCAAGACTTTACTGAATGACTTGGGTGCAATTCTACCACAAAAATTGCTTAAAACTTAGAAATGACAAATATGATGCTCGAATTTCTAAGGGAAACGTCTCAATTTGAGATCTGAATTACATTCATCCACGAATCTGATTTTTACATAACATATTGTGGGTATTTATAGTCTCCTGACAAAAGACGTTTGTGGTCGGGATTCAATCCCGATCCCCTTTAGTCAATTTTGACCATTTGACCATTGCAAAATGAAATGAAAAAAACAATAAAATCTTTTAATAAATGTTGATACGTTTGAGTGGCTAAGGAGATGAATTTGAAATCTATTGTGTAGGTTCAATGGATACTACGAGTAAATTTTTTCAGGGTAAATTGAAAATTTCTACAATTTTCTTTTCTAGCGTATCTTCTCCATTGCTTCCCATATTGTTGGACATCATCATCACTTTTGTAAAATAATAAGTGATACTTTCATCCTTCTTCATCTTTAGGATCTCAAATTCTCTCCTTAATGCATTAAGAAGAGATTTCTTCACTTTTGGTTTCCACCAAACTATCACTTCATTGAATCCCAAACAATCTTGGTTATGCGACAATTCAAGATTTGTTCAAAGAGAGTACGATCAATTACCTAGAAGAGGTAATGTTTTACTTAGTGATCTTTGAGTCTAGCATCATCAAGGTGCACCTTTTGTGCCTCAGTCAACATTGTTCCTTCCACAGGTTCTAACAAACCAATCTCCACCACACTCCATAGACCCTTTTCTCTGAGCAAATTTTACATCATCTCACTCTAGTAATCATAGTGACCATCGATGTGAGGAATTTTCGTTAAAGTTTTATCTTCACTCATACTCTTTATATTTGATCACTCAAAAATTGCTACTCTTCAAAGCGAGTGGTGGCTTTGATATCAATTATAAGGGTTTGACAGAATCATGACTAAGCTAGAAGCATAAACAATTGAAGTTTCAGATGATAAGACATGAGAGGCACAACAAGTCCATTGGTAAGCTTAGGTGCTCGGTTACATGAAAAATGCCAAAGAATAAAAAGTTTCATTGTACTACTATTATACTAATTCAATTTGACTAGTATACCACTTATTTTCAAGTAAAAGTTTGATTGTTGCTTTTTTTTTAATATGATATTTTTTTTAAAATTTCAATTATTTATGTTTATATTGTTTCTATTTTTAATTCTTCTCGTTAATAATAATTATTAATATTGACTACTAAGAAAAACTAAAAAAAAAAAAAAAAAAAAAAAAAAAAAAAAAAAAAAAAAAAAAAAAAAAAAAAAAAAAAAAAAAAAA